TGAGATTGCCACCCCTGAAAAGATAGAATAGAATAACAGAGTTGGAAGGGACCTTGGAGGTCTTCTAGTCCAACCCCCTGCTTCAGCAGGAAACCCTAGACCACCTCAGACAAAGGGTTATCGAACACCTTCTTAAAAACTTCCAGTGTTGGAGCATTTACAAAGATCCAACTGAAATTATTGTTGTTCGCTTTTCCCCTTATTTCCTCTTCCCCTCAATTGCTCCTGTCTTCCCTAGCAAACTTAACTCGGGTTGCAATGGTTCATAAAGCCATCCTGTTAAGTTGGCACATAGCTAAGAAGTTAAAACATACTTTCATACCTGTTTCATCTGAAGGGCTTGTTTTTTATAATATTTTCCACGGACATTTTATAATGAAAGTTCTGAACAGCCGCCCGGAGTCCTTAAGGATTGGGCGGCATATAAATTTTGATAATAAATAAATAAATAAATAAACTCCCTGGGAGAAAATGTAAGGAAGCTTCTACTTTTTTACCTTTTCAAAATCCAGGTCCCTTATTCCTAAAATTACAACTCTTACAATTCAAAGGAAGTTGCGAAGTTGTTGGTTTTCTTTTTCTTAGTTTTTCCAGTGAGGAAAAAAAAACATTCCCCGTGATTTCTAATAACTTGTTAGATTTTTGGTTTTTTTTCACTAACAAATAAAATGAGAAAAAGTTTACAAATAGTTATGCTATCGTGGACAGCCAGCCACTCAATGGAAGTGTGCAATTCATACAGTCACGGAATAAACCGACTGGAAAACGATCTTCATTTTGTAGGTTTCTTTTGTTCTTTGGGGGAGGGAAAAAGGACAGTCCGTGAAGAAACTTTTCTTTTTTTTCAGTTTGGAAAATGATTGTGTAGTAGATAAAAGGAAGAGGAGAAAAAGGAAATCTTTAACAGGATATTTTGTTACAACTGTACTCCAGTTTCCAGCANAATGGTCAGATAAAAGAAATCCAAATCCTGTAATTTGAAAAACATCTCAAACATCACCCTCCCTAGTTCTCATGAAGATAAAGAGAAGATGGGGGGGGGGCATAGACTAGCAAGGCTTTGTTACTATAACCTTATAAAGTACTGACATTTTGGCCACCATTTTTATTGCCGTCAGTTGGTGGTCACTTATAACGGCGGAAGGGCTTAGAGCCCGATTCACCATGAAAAGGATGCTTGGGGAAGAATTGCTGCCTGCCCTTGTCCAGAAAGGACTGACTCTGGGATTGGTCCACCTCTTGTGGATAGGGACGCTGAAAGGAGAGGGCACTAGGGCCAGGCTGCCCCCAAAAGGAGGAAGGCACTCTACGGTCAGCCTTCCTAGGAACCAAAGACAAGACCTTTTTCTTGTCCTTGTTCTCGATAAGGACAGGATCTAGGGCTTGCCCAAAACAGATGGCCTCCCTTAAAGGGAATAGATGCCAGTTTCCACTTTGATCACCTGTCTGCATTGCAATGTCTAAGCCAGATAAGGCGGCAGGAGGTAACATTGGACGACAGGGTCCTGGAAGCTAATTTTGTGTCATTCAGGGTGGCGTCAGCTGTATATTCCACTGATGCTATTATTTTATTAACATCCTGCGTCAGCCTGGTATCTCCAGCCAGGAGTCTGGTCGAGAACTGTCTGAGCCAGAAAAGGTTCGCCCTAGAAAAGAAAGAGGCTGAGCTGGATGCCTTAATGACCCAGGAAGCTGCCTGTTGTGTCTTATGACAAGCTTTCTTGGCCCTCTTGTCTTCCAACTTTAATCCCTCCAAAAGCTCAGGAGGAAGAACCGAGGAAGAGGTGAAGGCCTGCACCGGTGCTTCTATAGGAGGTAATTTTAATAAATCCTCCAAGCTCGTCTCCAAGGTATACAACCTCTTATCACTGCCACTGGGAGTGGGAAGGGAACATTTTTGATATAGTAGAGAGGCCAGATCTAGCTATTGTACTTTGGTATTCTCTCTCTGGGATGCATAACCTTTTCCCAATGATCAGATCTGGATCCCTCTTGGGATGCAATTTGTAAGTATATATTAATGTCATTAATAGCTGTGGAGAGATCTGGTCGCAAAACCCTAAAGTAGCATAGATCGTAAGACTTCTTTCCTTTGGCCCTTTGCTAGAGGACACCACCTCAAGATTGCAGAGGCTCACGGTCTGCCTTTCATAGTCACATGGACCTACAGTTCCAATTGTGAATCTTCTTGCAATAAGTGAATTTGTACAAAAGTTGCTTGCATTGACACAACCTTATAGGAAGTTTAAGGGCCAGAAGAAAGATGGAAAAACTCATGGTAAGGTAAAGGTAAAAATTCCCCTTGCATATATGTGCTAGTCGTTCCTGACTCTAGGGGGAGTGCTCATCTCCGTTTTAAAGCCAAAGAAACAGCGCTGTCCGAAGATGTCGGACGGCATGACTAAATGCCGAAGGTGCACGGAACGCTGTTACCTTCCCACCAAAGTGGGCCCTATTTTTCTACTTGCATTTTTTACATGCTTTTGAACTGCTAGGTTGGCAGAAGCTGGGACAAATAACAGGAACTCACTCTGTTACGTGGCACTAGGGATTCGAACCGCCGAACTGCCAACCTTTCTGATCGACAAGCTCAGTGTCTTAGCCCCTGGACCACCACACTCATGGTAGTGTGGTTTAAATGATATATGGTTCATATTTCTTGGACTAACAGCTCTGCTTCTCTTTTTGGGTGTTCTCAGAAGTTGTGTGTTCTGAAATCCTTAGCCATGATGGCTTTTTCATACCATCTGGGAAATCTGGAAACATTTTCCCAGCATATTTTCAGAATGAAAAACTGGAGAAACCTAAATTAAAATATTATTACCATGTAGCATTTTGTAATCAGGTCACTTCATGTTTATTGCATTACAACTTCCCTAGTTATTATTGGAACTGTAATATAATAATCTAAAAAGCATGGGGGAGGTTTCTATATAGAGTAACTGAAGCAATGAACATGGGAAAACAAAAGAAAATAATACCAACTACTGTACTGTATCCTGAAGTGGAAGAGAAGAAAAAAATATGGATTAAAAAAAATATTTACTTACTGTTGGTATTAAAAGAAGAATGTGAGACTGCATTAGGAATACAAACAATCATGAATGACATCCATGAAAAGTTCTTATGGCTTGGAAGCACTGAACACAAATGAAACATGAAATCTAAAATTGTCTGGTTCTCTGAACCTATTGTATCGCTTCTCCCATAAATTTATTTAAAGAAACTCTACAGGGATTTTCAGTCTCAATTCATGCTTCTTTACATATTCCAAATAGATGTTGGACAGTAAAGGAGAAAAGGCCAAAGGAGTGATGTGTTGTTTCCAGGAATATCTGTGGGTGGAGAATTCCACAAAATAAAGATGTCAGTCATAACTCTACAATTGTTCTTTATGTGCATCACAGCCACAACCTGCAAAAAAGAGGGAGGGGGTTGACAAGCCTGTGGCTGCCAGTTTGACTTTCTTGTGGACATTCATAGTTGTTTTAGATGTTCAGATTATGGAAAGCAGGCATGCCCAGAGGCATTTGTGTGGCTACCATATCCCCCTCTATAACTACTGTCCAGTAATATTCTTTTAAATGATCTTAGACATTGTAAGTGGGATGGCTCAGATGGCTGAAGAGGGACGCGGTGACTCAGTGGCTAAGATGCTGAGCTTGTCGATTGGAAATGTTGGCAGTTTGGTGGTTCGAATCCCTAGCTTTGCATAACAGAGTGAGCTCCCGTTACTTGTCCCAGCTTCTGCCAACCTAGCAGTTCGAAGGCATGTAAAAATGCAAAAAAATAGGGACCATCTCTGGTGGGAAGGTGACAGTGTTCCCTGCACCTTCGACATTTAGACATGCCAGTCACATGACTGCAGAGACGTCTTTGGACAGCGCTGGCTCTTCGGCTTTGAAATGGAGATGAGCACCACGCCCTAAAGTCGGGAACGACTAGCACATGTGTTCGCGGGGAACGTTTACCTTTACCTTACACATTGTGGCAAATGTGGAGTGTTTAAATAAAGCTCCCTGCAAAAATAGCACAAAAAATCACTGAGAAAACAGATGAATGGACATGTCCTAAAACAGAAATAATCTCATGTCAAAATTGTTTCCCCTTGCATCTTTTCAACAAAGCACAAAGTTGGAGATGTAAAAAAATGCAAATGATTCCAAAGTGAGGGTTAAAAAAGAGAGACAATAGCGATGTCAGTAGAGCTCATAATTATGAAAATCAACTGTCAATCATGATTACTATAAGAATTATGATAAGACTGGTAGTAGAAATAATCATTATAATATGAATACCAATGCTAAGAAGTTGAAGAAATTAATAATAAAGAAGACTAACAATAGTGATTATGGCAATTATTAAAGTTGTACCTATTGCAGGCAATATGCCCTTAACTAAGCACTCAGTTTAATGGATAATATTATTTTGCCTTGAGACCCTTTAACTTATGAAGGTACATGAGTTTACCCCAATAAGAAATAGATAAGAGATTAGTTGATGGTGATCAGCTATTCCGCTTCAGTATCAACTATTTTTCAAAAGTTACAATTACCAGGCCAAGATGTTATTTGACAAAATGAAGATCTATCCACCCCTTGTAAATCTCCTACCACTTTATTTTTGATTTCCCTTATTTTGGTCCCATATATTTTCCACTTTGGCCCATCTGATTCTGGTAGTTTGATTCCTGGCTTGATTCAGGACTCATTTGACAAAGCTTATTCAGCCTTACTATACGTGGAGACAATGGGTGTCAAACCCGCCATCATATATTACTACATTTTTTTCCCTTCATGGAGCTGGGGTGGGCATGGCCTGCATGTGACACGTCTGGCCCATAGGCTGCCAGTTTGACACTGTAGACAGTGTTTTTCAACCTCAGTGACTTTAAGATGTGTAGACTTCAACTCCATGCTGGCTGGGGGATTCTGGGAGTTGAAGTCCACACATCTCACTGAGGTTGAGAAACACTGCTATAGACAATGTGTTTTCCATACCTTTCCATAAAATCCATTATTCCTATTGTAGGATTTTCTCAGCTCTGGTACAGATAACATAATGGTTCAAAATGGTAGGTGTTTAGCCATGAAGCTCTATAATAAGTATGATTCATGGCTTTGATGAAAAGAACTTTCTTTGAACCTTTAAACACAATGTAAGGCAACTTTAGGAGGCCACCACAATGTATTGAAAGAGAGAACAATGTATCACACAGCCTGTTCTCTGAAAGTCATCTGCCTTTTAAGCAGTGACTGGTACTTTTTCATCATCATGTCTGTTGAAAAATTTGCAATTGATCTACTCGGGGGATGGACACAAATCATCATTTCAGGAAGGAAGATGTCTTGGTGGAGTGCCATGTTCAGTGCAACTACTTGATATGACTCTACATGCCAGTAGGAATAGATCTGCTTTAAAGACTCTTAACTTTATATATCACTGACAAGGGACAATATTAACTGAATCACCTCTGTACTTGCTTTTGCAGTTTCATAATACTCCTTATTCAGAGTGTATTAGTGTACCAGTGTACACTGTACATTGAGCCTTATTAGCAAAAACTAAGAAATCAGAGAAGGTTGCTTGAAGATTAAAGGATAATAATCCATAGTATCTTACTCAGTATTGCCATTGCTGATTAAAAATCCACATCGTACCTTTCTGAAGAGTTCTCAAGGCTTGTCGATGGGCATAAAACCCCAACTGAAAGTTACTTCAAACAGAAACGAGACTTCTGGAAGCCTTTATCTCATAGTTAAGTTCTCCTAATGCCAAAGGGCTATCTGGAAATCAATGAGAATGCTGAAGATGAAAGATAAAACAACTTGCTGGACTATATATACCTAGTAGCAGTAAAAGGGCAAAATAATCATACTGCATTGATTGAAGGAAGTCCTGGTCTTTTGTCTTTGTTAAGGGTAATGTGTAACTAATAATTTTTTCCCTAGACTTTCACACTTAGAAAAGTTTGTCAGAAAGCACAAAATACCATTTCAACTCCATTTTCATTCCACTTGTTACAGGAGGACAAACATTTGAATGCACAGTACTATCTCACATTTTCCCCGTATAGGTCACTCTGTAGCAGTCAAGGAAAATTTATGATAATATCTCTAAAGGGCAACAGACAGAGGAAAAACTCCAGCTGTGTGGCTGAAGTCAGCTGGTTTTATGATCCTTAACTGAATGATTAGAAGCCGACAAATAGAATCTGTCTTCTATCCAAATTAGTCCCTAATATTCTTGTTTAATAGTGCCATCATAATAAACTGTTCCTAGTTATTTATCCCCAGGGAACTCCTTCCCATTGCTCTGCTGTTTGGGCTTTAATAGAGAGGAGGCTTGATTATAGAAGCAGTCTAGAAGATGACATATTTTTTCCCCACCAAAGCCATTGTTCAGAAAAGGTCTCTTTGGTAATGAAAGGCATCCAGTAGAAATGTCTGCAGCTATCTATAGCTTGTTAGTTTGTGACTCATGCTGGAAATCTTGTTTGGAAAGTCAGAAAGATCAGGTCATTGTCTCTACTCAATGGGGCTCCTTCTATATTTTTGTGAAGGTGATGCCACCTTATGGCGTTCTCATCCCTCCTCTACTGCAAAAGGTACACAGACAAGTTTGCCGGTATTCCTGACTCTGTTTAAATGTGGTAAATTCTGCAGTTTGAATATGGATGATTCAACAAGGCAGAGAATCCTTGGTATGGTATTGATTTTTGCATGCTTGTTATTCTTAACACTTCTAGCTTAAATAGTTTTTATTCAAATATTTTACAAATATAATAGATACATTCAAAGAATATATATATATATATAGATTTCAAGCTATTTAGCTCTCATCACATACATACATACATACATACATACACACACACACACACACACACACACACACACACACANACACAACTACTTTGCTAAGGACACTCAAGTCCTTAAAATAGATGGGGGCAAATACAGGACAAGAACCTTTATTATTGATGGAACAAGAAGGTAAGACTTCCAAACAGACTACATCATATACAGGAACCTACTTCCCAAATACAAACACAATACTCCTGGTTTGTTAGGGGTTTTTTTTTTAGAAGATTGTCCAGATGAAACCCGCTTAATAATCTTGAAGAAAAAGTTGTGGAGCAATTCTTTTTGATTCTCTACTAAGAAACACATGGAAAAAAGAGGGAAGAGGAAGAAGATAAGGGAAGATTCCAAGTGGGGTGGGTGGGTTTCAAATCGTAAGGACAAAATCAAATTAACCTGCTCCCAGAGAGGGCTAAAAACCTTCTGGTGGTAGCAATTTTGAGTTAAAAAAAAAAGAGAGATGGAGAATAATAACCTTATTCTCCTGGCTACATCGAAACCATTTGGCATTAGCAGCCAACAGACAGTCCCCAGGCTGCCCTGGGGAGCAATGGGGTTTGCTTGGTCTGCAATTTACTATAAGGCTGCTTTTGTTAAAAGAAAATGTAACTTTCCTTTAGGGGTGAGAGGAGAGGGAACACACATCCTCGGGGCAAATTCCACCAGAGGACGGACCTTGCGAGAGGTAATGGATTTGGGAAAACAGGCGGATTTGGTTTCCACATCTGGCAAAATTTAGGATGGAGAACCAGGAAAGGAGGCCCTTCAACCTGCTTCAGAGATCTGTTGAGGAATCTTGCTCAAGGCAAGTGAGATGATGACATCCCGGAAAGTCCATCTCAAAAATTCGTGAGCGTGGTCCAAATTAGAAGAATGGGATTCTTGGAACCAATTCCCAAGGAGCCGGGAAGCTCTCTGTTTCCTGACATGAGAAAACTTCCAAGCTCAAACCTTGGAAGCAATTCTTCTGTGGGATCTTTGATGCTCCTTGAGCTGCTTTCTTGCAGGCATCCAAGCTGGGATGATGTTCCCTAGTTTGGTGAAGAAACATCTGCAAGGAAATCAAGCTCCAGGAGCAACAAGGACCCCACAATTCAAGGCTGAACTAAAACTATGGATACCATTTCCACATACCTCCAGAAAAATGACTCTGGAGTGAGCAGATGTATATGGAAGTCCCTGCTCCCTATACTGGATAGGAAACAATCCCATAGCTCTCAACGTTTTTTCTCTGGAGTCTCCCAGTACAGAGACTGGGTGCCAAGTCGGAATAGACTCTTGACTTCAACTGGCATTGTTGACACTTCATCTCATGTCAAGTCATGTGGCCGGCATGACTAAACGCCGAAGGCGCACGGAACACTGTTACCTTCCCACCAAAGATGCTCCCTATTTTTCTACTTGTATTTTCACATGCTCTCGAACTGCTAGCTTGGCAGAAGCTGGGACAAGTCACAGGAGCTCACTCCGTTACGCGGCGGTAGGGATTCGAACCGCCGACTTCTCTGATCGACCAGCTCAGCATTTTAACCACTGAGCCGCCGTGTCCCCTTCAATCTCCATCTTTAAAAAACACACACACACACACCAGTCCTTCAGTAAACGTTGGCCCTATTCCTTTCCAAAATAGTTCATGGATAGAAACCTACAACCAGGCCTTAATACTCTGTGTCTGTTACTCCATTCCAACACATGAGGTAATTGGCTAGGAGCCACAGAAACAAGCCTCTGGAGAGCTTTTGTGGAGACCGATGGAATTGCTCGGGAGTAAGGCACTATATCAGAAGCCATCTCCAGTTATTATTATTTTTTTAAATCTTTTGGAAGTTTGCAACAGGAATCAAGGCAGTTCGTTCCTTGCAACCCCAGTTTGCCAGTGAGTAAATCCTCCCATTTCACCATAAATCTGGGGAAGCGGAGGAAAGGAAGATGCCACAGCCTGTCAAACCCACCTCTGAAGCCTGAAATCAATAGGGCAGTAAATATTTGGGGCAGGGGTTTGATACACAGCCACACACACACCCTTTTTCCGATGTCAGTAGGCAAAGCTTTTTCAATGGTGAGCAGCAAGGCAGGTCAACAAAATGGGACTTTCCATCCAAAGTCTGCATGCTTTTCTTTTATTTATTTGGTGATTTTCTACTTGCTGGGGTATCACACACACACACACACACACACCCTCTCTGCCTCCAACGGAGGAGATGCTGAAGAGCCAGCCTCGCGATCCCTTGGAAGTTTCCTTAGTCACCCCAGCCCCGTTCCCAGCGCGCTCCCTATGATTCACAGCTGGTGCAGGCAACCTGGATCTCTCCAGATGTTGGGGCCATCTCCCACAATCCCTTGCTATATCATCCACGCTGGCAGATGCTGGTAGAGGAGCCAGCTGTCCAAAAACCACCCCGCCGGCGCTGGATGGCACAAGATTATTCCGACCCGGGGAAGGCTTTCGGCTGGGACTCGCGCCCACCCGCCGCCTTCCAACAACGAGGGGTCACGCCTGGATGGAAGAAGGCAAAGCGGGCCAGCCCTACTCTCCTCGGCCAGCGGCCACCCTTTCGCTCCAAACGCGGCACTGGGCCACCCTTTCTGGAACTCCAGGAGCAGCAGAGCCAGAAAGGAGGGTGGGGGTGATTTTGGGGAG